TTTTACGTGTTATGAAGAGATCATCTAGTTTATAACATCCAAACTTTTTATATCTGGAAAGAAAAATATATGTATAAGGAGTGTAGAATGATATTTTTTGAGTGCCAATAACACTTTCCTATGATATATTGCTAAAATTTATTCTTATGTTTTAAGTCATATGAAATAGTACATCACTTTAACGTGTTCCAAAACGCCATAAGTTATTCAACAAAAGGCGCATAAATGGCTGCGTTTATAAAATAAATAAAAGACGAGATGTGGATAGATAATTAAGCTGCACGTGTTAGTACTGCTTATATAGTTTGAATATTAGTCTACAAGGGGGCTAGGGGCTAGGTGAGTAGAAGTTTTCTCTGCATGAAATTGGACCTGGTTTCGAATATACGTACAGAAGCATCTTTTATAACGATTTATCTTGGTCTATGCCTTATACCCATTTATTTGATGTATTTTAACGATATGAACTATTTATTTTTTAGATGATTATTCATAGCTTATATTTACGAAATTAAATAAATCTAAAATTATTAAGACATTTATTTATAATGAATAAATAGATGAATACGATTCTACAAAGAAACTCAAAATAATTCTTAATCTAATACATGGTTTCAGATTTGGATAATTTTAGTACACGATATTTGAGGAAATACGTAAAAGATAAACGAATTATTAAAAGATAATAAGAAATGAGCCTCACAAATATATTTAAAATAAATTGTATCAAAAAATAGTGTCGCGGATCATTCTTTTATAAATACTATTATATCTCTGAAATCATGGGAAGCTCAAAATTGGTTTTGGATTCATTATGTAATATGAAAAATAATTATTTGATGTGATGCAGCATGTGCTTGGTTCATGCTTTCTCTGACCACTGACTTGGCATGGTTCTTTCTGCAAATATCTTTTGAATAAAAAACGCATGCATCATGCATGTGCTTAATTACTTTGCATACATTTCAATTTGTATTCATAAACCATACAAAACAACAAGCATGAAGAAGTCCGAAGACTACTCGACGAGGAAAAAAAAAAAAAAAAAAAAAGGTCTCATGACTAGATACAAGTAATATTAGTACTTCTAGTTTTGCTTTTACCCAAAAACAAAAACAAAAAAAATGAATTTCTAATTTCACTACAAATTTTGACTTCGATTTAAAAAAAAGAAAAGAAAGAAATTTGGAATACATAAACTTTTTTCCAATTACTGATTCAAATTATCCCGAAATCTTCCAAACATATTCCGACATAATTTTTTTTTTTATATATATATTCCAATTTTGTTTTTATAGTTATTCATCAAAATTTTGATTTTGTAATTAATTTTTGTACTTGTATCATGTCCATGGTTTATTTCGAACACATTTTACTTACAAACTTTTATATTTAATCATCCACTTATAATATTTCTTTCGGAAATCACCATATATTATACATTATGTTTCTAAAATTTCGAGACAATTCCAATGAATATTTAAAAAAAAAAAAATCTTAATTATATTTTTTTTTCGGAAATCACCATATATATTATACATTAGGTTTCTAAATTTCGAGACAATTCCAATGAATATTTAAACATTCTTAATTTGAAAATTTCAAATATGATATAAAAATTTTGAAAAAAAAATTAAATAAAATACAGAAAAACTAATAAAAAGGGTTTGAAAACTTTGAGTTTTAACAATAAGGATAAAATAAAAGGTAAAGTGAATAGTACCAAAATTGACTTTTTAGTATAAAAATATAATTTTTCGTTAAAATGAACAGTATCAAAAGTTTTTCGTTAAAATTCCTATAAAATAAAGGAAGAACCAACGAAACAAAATTCACCAAAAACCATAGGAACAGCAAGGAAAGGATTGCAGAAGAAGAACAAAAAACGAAAGCATAATTTAGGGTTTCAGGTTACACGTGGCAGCACGTGATGGCTAATTGGGTGACCCGACCAATGATCTGTACCTTTGCAGATCAATACGTCCGCCGATGGTGCGGATTTAGGTCCGCGATTAACGGTGATAAGTCACTGATCTATCAGGTGGTAGAGTCAGAAGTCACCAGACTACAGGACCACTTGTAGTTATTTTTTGCTATAAAAAATCTGGTCCATTTTGACTTTCAATCGTTGCAGTAAGTATTCGCCCCTGCTTGCAAGCATTCATGCATCCGACGTCCAAATTCTAATTCAAAATTTTATTATGTTTTGGTGTATAATGTGTACTTGATGAATAAATTGAAAACTCTAGTGTATGGTATGTGTTTTGGGAAGGTTTAATCTTTGGGAATAGGATCCTTCGAATCCTTTCCATCTGAATTCGAAGGATCTTTCAATCTTAGTCGTCCAGAAGAAAATTGAACGGTCAGGAAATTTTTTTGGCACCATTGGAATAGGAAGAAGCTGGGAGGGCAGCAATGGCCACCGGATCCTCTGCATCAAATCCCCGGCGATGGTGTTGACGGCCGGAGGGGTTGAGAGGGTGCGGATGTGAAGGAGACGACGGCGCCTTTGCGGACCTGTTCGAGGAAGAAGATGGAGCTGCCATGGCTTCGCGGCTGTGCTGGAGGCAAGGCTTGCAGCCAAAATTCAGGATCCGGAGAGTATTCTTTCCCTAATCTTTGATTTATATGGTGGCATCCTACAGTAAAGTTCTTGGCTATTAAATCCTTGTTCGAAAATATGATAACGAGAATCTAACATTCAAAAGCTCTAGAGTATATATAATATATCGGAACATAATAGAATGTTATCAACTTGGTTTAACTAGGCTAATATAGTACGTAGTTGCTTCCACTTAGTTTCACGAATGCCACATGTTCGATTCATTTGAGTGTGTGAGCCAGTTGTAAAATATCTTTCTACTTTGCTCTCTATCGTTTTATCTGTGAAGAAGTGAAGAGAAAAGAGTCATATGTTAGTGAAGTAAACCTTGCAATGACTTATAAGAGGTTGAGTTACTTCTTAATATTGCTAATTAGTTTATGGTGAATCCTAATTTTTTTTCATGATATCAGAGCAGTTTGGTCCACATGTGAAGCACAATGGCTACACATGCTTCACATCACTCAATTCGTGTTGTCTACGTGCTTGGTATGAAAATTCGCCACAATTGAGGGGGTGTGTGAGAATGTGTGCTAAAGAGTTTCACATCGGTGACAGGAGAAATATTGAAGGAGCTTATAAAAGATTATACTACTCTCTATATTACCAATTGGTTTATGATGGAACCCTAACTTTTTTCATTGTCTGGTGAATTTCTCCTATTCCATGTGCGTGCTACTTGTGCAATGCCAATTAGGTATGAAATTCAAAATAGAGGAAGACTTTGAAAGAGACTGTAAGAAAAAGATATGAAGTACTTGGAATTCGTTGAAGACTTGGCGCAAAATGGAGCACAATAACGTTTTAGGACTCATACAGCTGACCCCACTTAATGAGGTAACGCTTGGTTGTTGTATTGTATCATATCATCAGGCTTAGCCCTGCTAATCAGTTTGTTTCATATAATGCTTGATGGGCAGGTTCATGACCTAGCTAAAATAAATAACCAATCGATCATGGCAATCAAACAATTAGGCACATCAAGATTTTATTTTGTTATTTTTTTACACCAAAAAAATGAATCGAACAACGTTAATCTTTTTAAATCTACTCTATCATCAAACATACTGAATTACATATTTCACATCGTAAACAAAATCTTTACATCATTGATTTAAATAATCGTGATATTTTCTCTCTATTGTCGATTAATTTTGAAAAATATACAGACGATTTAAATTCAGAGTTCTCTCTATAAATTCTAAACCCTAATCTTCATACAGTGTCGTTATTACATGGTCATCGTGGACCACCTGTACAACTTGGTCATCGTTTTGTAGTGTTATGTGTTTGCATTTGTATCGCATTAGTACTCCCTTAGCGTGACTACAAGTATAACAAACCCAATTTATGTTTCTAAAACATCACAACCCAATTTTCCTGCTTTGTGTCCCATGCACACAATAATTGAGACCTCATATCATTATTTAAGGTCTATATGTAAACCCACGTAACATTTTAGAAGGTTCTCTTCAGATGACTCAAACAAGTAGACTCTGTGCAATTTGACTTCTAATCTTACGGTTTTCTACATGCCACCAACTCGCGTGACTGAAGCCAGAGCTCTTTTAGAAGAAAAATTTTTCCGCAAGCGTTGCATGAAACATGTTGCTCACGTTGGCTACAACATGTGAGTAGAAAATGACCTGAATGTGAGAAACATGTTTTCATGCAACGCGTGCATGAAAGTTTTTCTTTTTTTGGAGTTAGATTATCTGTTTGTCTCAGTTAAAACAGTCTTTATCCTGTTGGTGAGAGATGAATGGATCCTACCGTCTCCATATCCTTCTCCACAAGATGTTCACTTTGAAGGCTCCCCCACAGCACCAGCACCAGCACCGGCAGATTTGACGGGATTCTCACTCTCTGCTATCACATGTTTTTTGCAAAATATTTTATAAAATTAGTACGGAAATTAACGTTAAATTGTGAGGTTTCTAAAAGTCCATGGATAGTCGGAGACCCACTTTTAAGAGTCTTCTTAGCATTTATCATCAATTTAAACGATGGAAATAAACATAAGCCTTTGAACACCTAATCTTCAGCACTTCTCATCAACTTAAATGATGGAAATAAACATAAGCCTTCGAACACCTAATCTTCTCTACTATTTGGCAGAAGTAAATATTTTAGGAAAAAATGATTTCTGCACTTCATTCTCCTTCTAAACAACAACCAATCCTTATAAGCTTATCCCACTAAATAGAGTCGTCTGATCATTCTCCCTTGAACACCTATATTAGTTTCTATGAATTGATTCTCATTTGATTTGTTATTGACATAAACATTGTGTAAAAGGAGAGAAAACGAGCGTGCAAAAATATCTTCGCTACTTTTAATCACTAGAGCTACAAGTCCCAGAGCGTCCAAGAAAAATTAAAGGATGAAAAATAGTAAGTGAACATGCAAGAGAGATATTTTGTTAACAAGAAGACTCGGAAAATTTTCCCGAATTTCATCACAGGCATCTGGCTGTTCTGACATTTTCCATGGCCTCGGAGAGACTAATAATTCATAGCAGCCAACTAGTGTACAAGGACGAAGAGAAGAAGATACACAGCCTTCTACCTTCTAACCCAACTTTATACCATTCTGCATTATTTTCTAGTGATTACAGTGAAATTAAGTTGGTTCTCATGCTTCCCGATGGAACCCTTGGCTCGATCATGATACAAACTGGGCTTCGGCACCTTCCCTCTCCGCCAAATCAAACATCTTACCTGGGCATCATGGACTGCAAGCCAAACAAAATGTACATTTTGATCAAAATCCGTAAATGCTTCCTTGACATACAGATTCGTAAGGTAATGAATGAGATGCATCAAGAATAAACCACCGGGATATTACATACGCAAATAAATCAATCAGACTGTAAACCACAAAATTTATATCTGCCTTTGAACATCCAACCGGAATGATGGTCCTAAAGCTGATGCAGGGGAAACCAATCAGAACTCTTGGAAACGAATTACAACAGAATATAATTCGTAGGAGCAAGATGAGAACTTTGAAATTTTAAACAGAAAACAAATCTTTTTATCTACCAAATCCGAAAGACCAAACATAGTGTAGAAGTGAACGCATTTGCTTACATGTTATCTACCAAATTCGAAAAGAAGAATGCACATCTTATGAACATAATTTTTTTTTTTTTTGTTACAATGATAATCATAGTAAATCATCTTGCAATATCGGAATAAAAGAAGCAAGCATGGTAGTGGCTTTCTTGCAAGCGAAAGCCATCAGACACCAATATGATGTGACACGAGCAAACTAGTGGAAAATTCAAGCTGTAAATGTCTAACATGCCATCTAAAGCTTCCTTCATAAAACAAAGTTTCGTTTCTTGAGTAAAAGGTTGCAATTACCCTGATTCCTGTAACTGTGTTCCTAGGCTTCGCTGTTGCTGTGCTCGCAAAAGCGCTAACCCCAGACGATGTATTTCCAGGCTTAGCTGTAGTCATGCTTCCAAAATTGAATCTTGGCTTTTTATCTGCAGGTTTTAGTATTTGAAAAGAGCACATTAATGTCTCATCCACACTCATCATGGCACCAGCATTATCAAATTCCCCACAATAATTAGGTGCTGAAAATATCGTCACAAGTTGGCGGTTGGCAAATAACTCATAGCCATCCTCCACAACCTGTCAATGATAAAAGGAAAACATAACTAATTATTCTAAAGGCACGAAAACAATTTAAAATTTCACATCCTCAATAGTCAGTGCAAGACTGTACAGAAAGAAGCAACATTTGCCAATACCACTACACCAGCAGTGGAGGTCTGGGAATGCCAGGGGCTTCATTCTTATACCAAAGAGATGACAATTTCTCTGGATTAAAAATACGTAAAAAAGAAATTAGAACCACACAGATCCCGCGACCGAAAAAGCCCAGATAGGAAGTGATGTTTGGCTCCCACAGGTACATACAGTCCTGCAAGTGTATGTTAAGAGGATATGAACTGAACCAAAAAAAGGCCAAGCAAGAAAACCTGGTGAGCACGACAAACGAGATCCAAATCATGCTTCTGAAGAAACTCCGTCACCGTGTCAGGACCAAATGTAAACGAAACTCCACGGTCGTTCCTTCCCCAACCTTGAACATCTTTACTGGGATCAGACCAGAGAAGGTCACAGAGTAAACCTGTCTCTGGTACATCTGTTGGCCGTGGTAAATTTCTGATTTGATCTAAATTATGCAGGTCAGGAGAAAGACCGCCATGCATGCAGAGAATCTTTTCATCAATCAGAGCTGCCACTGGAAGGCAGTTAAAACAATCTGTGAATGTCTTCCATAGTCTCACATTGAATCTTCTCTTACACTCATCATAAAATCCGTATATACGGTTTATAGTCGCACATTCATGGTTTCCCCTCAAGAGGAAAAAATTCTCAGGATATTTTATTTTAAATGCAAGGAGAAGACATATTGTTTCTAAACTTTGCTTTCCCCGATCCACATAATCCCCCAAGAACAAGTAATTGGCTTTAGGAGGTAGTCCACCGTACTCGAAAAGCCTTAAAAGATCGGAGTATTGACCATGTATATCACCTGACACGATAAGCAGTTCACTTTTAAGAATTCATGAAATTAAATCGTCGAAAGCTAAAGTCATTTACATGAAAAAGTAGGCAAGACATAAGAATATCAGTAAAGGCATCTGAACTTAAGCAATCAGACTGAATCTTTCTACATTATTTGATCTGTTCAACTTTCCAAGACACGAGATGATGAAATGAGCACAAATTATGAGCTTTCACAAAGAAGTCATGTACCTCATTACTAGAATATAATACCCCATAACATTCCGAGCGCAATTATCTAGATTAGGTTTTTCCGGTTGCAAGATTAAGTTCTTAATATTATTCAGAGTACCCATAAACTTAGCTTCCCATCATCTTCCAACAAATTAATTTTCAATGCCGGATGCCCGCTTTTCATATCCCTCAAATTAATTCAGACAAGATCACATATCTCCGTAACTTACATAGTCTGCAAAACTAGAATTACCAACTAACATTTTACAAATTAAGTTACTTTATCATAAGGTGATTAATAATCAATTACTTCGTTCTTTTTTTTAGTCAATAACAAACTTTGAATGAACGATGAAATAAGAATAAGAAAATAAGAGCAATTGGCTATACATATGAAACTCAAAACCTCTGTGAGGAGGATGGATTTACACACCCTCCATCTTTCATGTTATCGACCTTGTGTGCAGGTATCATAATTTTATGCAACACCCCTCCAATATCATAAAGAAAGGTCACCTTTCATCTAAAAACATATCCGAACTTCAGAAAATGTAGCCCACTAAGCTCTCGTGCACAGATATATAAACACGCACGCACAATGATTACATACCCAATCTTCTTTGCGTTTTTAACAAGAACATAAGTGTTACATTACTTGACATGAGCATAAAGCAGACACTGCAGTCAAGCTCACTATTTCATCCGAACTCCTACAATATCCTTTCGGCAAAAAAAGTCGAAAGTCTATGATACAATATTTTGTACAAATGCAATTCTACACATAATTAACACGGTCCGAACATTCCCAATACTTGAAATGTTAAAAAGGTTTACCAAATTGTAAACATTTGGTAACCGAATCATCCAAAATTGTTCCAATTAAGCTATTCGTGCCCAAAATCAGGACAACCTTCGCAATTATCAAAGCACAAAATGTTCGACTGATCCAACCTAGTATTGAACATATTGTGCGACCTCAAACAAATTACCCCGAACATTAAAGCACAGCGGAAAGGTTGCTTCTTTGTGACCGAATGGTCACGGTTTCGAGTCGTGGAAGCAACATCTTTGCAAAGCAAGGGTAAGGCTGACGTTCCCCCGACCCTCGCAAAGCCAGGAGCCTTGTTGGCTTGGGGTCGCCCTTGTTATCAAAGTACGGCTCACTAATTTATCAAATGACAATCCGAAATGGAACAGTTCGATGACTTGTATACTCCGATGAATGTTTTGCCATACAACACACCGATTTTCACGGATTATTCCACAAAAACAAACATCGGTCAGAAACAAAAACGTCTAAAATTTCCCCAAAAGATGAGTTCACACAACCTAAACAAATCAAAGAACCGAACTTTCCAATCAACCCCAACTAATTCCAACCCACAGAACAAGACCCATCACTAAAATTCGAAATTAAAGGAAGAAATTAAGGTTGTTTTGCAGAGAAACATACCACAAATCTTGATGGGTGCATCAAGCTCTAACAAATTAGGCTGCTGCAAGAAGATTTCTTTAGACACCAGACAGAGCTGCCGGATCTCCGACTCCGACAGCTGGACCTGCTTCCCGGGTCGGCCTCGGACTTCGAGAAGTCGGTTGATTATGTCGTCCAGAACCGATTGGTCCATTTCACAGGAGCTAGTCAACGACTACAAAGTCAACGGTTCGTTTGAAAACTGGAAGACTGAAACTTGAAGAAAGGGAAGATGATGAAGAAGAAGAGATGGAGTGAAAGAAAAGCAAGAGACTTTTGGGTGGGGGATTTGGTGGGTTGGGTTCTTCTGGCTGTCGCTTTCTGTGGAAAAGGATGCCGTTTCTGTGTTGGAGGGAGTGGTGTATTCTGAGCAGAGGAAGGAGAGAGAGCGACTGGGAGGAAATGGGTGATCCTTAATTTATTTCCTAATCAAAATTTTAAATTTTAAACTTTAAACTTTTGCACAAAATAATTATGTATATGTATATATTATATAATATATATATATAGTGTGTGTATATTTGTTCTTTTGTCAACTGATTGAGGAGTGAACTATTTAAGATTATTTTTCTTGTTTTTGGGTTTCCTTTTGTTTTCTTCAACAAGATGAAAGTGTTGTTTTGGTAGAAGACATGATTTTTCGGAACTTAGGTTTATTCGCTTTTAAGTACAGGATGTGATATCCATGCATCTCATTTTACTTCTCACATTTTTTTTTTTTTTGGTTGTCGGATCAGATGAATTCAAGAAGATCAACGAACATAAATTATCAAAGGGTGTGTGAGAAGTAAAATGGGATGTGTGGATAGCACATCCCTTAAGTACTTAAGGGTTTGTCTTCAGTAGCTCAGCCTGTCGAGTAGTTTAACTTTTAAAACAATATTTACTGTCTCCAAACTATTAAAGAAAAATTGTGTAACTTCTTAAGAAATTTCTTACCTTCCCAATTCTTAAAGAATCAAGACAACCATTCATTCCAGTGTGTATGGTTGTGCTCTTTTAAATGAGGAGATGATTGAGTAGAAATAAATAATAATTATGTGACTTTAAAAGTGTATCTTTGATACCATATTGAATGGAAAATTTACAAAGTAATTTACTGGATGTTAAAAAGACAACCGAACACATAACCTCGACCTTGAGTACAAAGACCGATATTTTTACCATTTGAATTACATATTTGTTAGTTTTCTTTGTCTCTAACCCAAAAATGATTTTTCAATAAAGCAATCATCTTTGTTTGATCTTGCAAATGGAATGATGGGTAAATCCCTTTTGGTGAATGTAATCTTTCGATGGTCTCTACAGCACTTATCGTTATTGTTATTGTGATACAGTTTAAGCTTACAATGTACATCTGATCAGGAGTTCTGCACTTCCTCATTCAATTGTAAACTTCATGATTGCAAGGCAGATATGCTTTGCAATTATAGTATCGCGTCCGGAGATGGAAGCACAACTGCTGGTCACTATGTCAAGGACAATATCCAACTTGATAAAGTCACTGGAAACCATCAAACAAACTCAACAAATGGAACTAGAGTATTCAGGTGAGTTTTACGCAATTATCATGCTAAATCTCAACAATTGATAGTGGGATAATCCAATGATTAGGATTGGTTTGGTATTGCTGTATTTTGAAAAATAACTGCTTCTCTGTGCTGTGAGAATAAGCTCATTTTTTATGCTTCACATTTTCAGCTTTTTTTTCATCCAAAACTATGAAAATAAGCTGTTTTTAAGTGTTTACTTAACACATTTTTTAGCTCAGCTTTTTTTTTTTTTTTTTAATACTCACTTTTTTATAAAAGCACCTTAGTACCAAACTAGTACTAAGGCCTGGTTTGGTACTAAGGTGATTCTGAAAAAAGCTGGTATCAACAAAAGCTAGGAGCTGTTTTTCTGTTTGGTAAACATTCAACTTCAGCTTTTTTTTCACAGTTTTGGGTGAAAAAAAGCAAAAAAAAGTTGCAAAATCCAGCTTTGAAAAACCGGCTTTTTTCACATCTATTTTACATAAAAGTTTACCAAACACTATAATACTGTTTTTTTTTCTTTCCAAAAGCACTTTTACAAAAAAGTTTACCAAACACTCTGTTGCTTTATTTCACAGCTGCTTATCCTCACAGCACAGCAGAAACAACTTTTTTTCAAAGCACAGCAATACCAAACCAGTCCTAAGATTTGTGTCAAATCTTGTGTAAAAATATGGTGTCACGGATCCACCCCATATATAATCCGTACAATGGAAATATTTGAAACTCACCAAATATGAATTGACACAATAACCAACAATCCGCAGCATGAGATTGAGAGAAGCATTGTAGCATACATCTAAAATACTAAAGAGAAAATTAAGCAAAACATTCATCTTTCTAGGAAATCCTCAGCTTCCGCAGGCTCATATGCGGTTATTATTTTACAATGGATAAGTCCGATGACTTGTGCGATACGGGCGGGTGGTAATACAATACGTCTACGTCTAGCTCCCTTACTTTTGCCCTACGGCGCAATTTGATTCCATGTTTTCAGTTTGGCGAAATTGGCCTTTGTGTTTTTCTTCGTTTGTCAATTTTAAATAATTTATGAAACAGGTGTTAAAATTAAAATGTGCATTACACGTGGGAGAGTCATCGTCAACCATTGAATCTTGCGTGAATTGATGGATTTACAGTGTTAAATTTCTATTCTCACACGTGTAATTAACACCTGTCAATTTAACAGTTCTCTAATGAATTATCTAAAATTAACTAACAAAAATAGCACCAGAATCAAATTCGTCAAATTAAAATTACGTGACGAAATTGACCGACCGAATAAGACACATCCATTATTTACCACTGTCGCCTGAAACTCATCAATACAGAACCTTTTTCCAGTTAACTGAAAAAGCGGCGCGAGAATCAGATCAGACGGCCGAAGTCCCATCGGAAGAATCTCAGAGATGAGAAGAGGAGGAGGAGGAGGAGGAGGAGGAGGAGGACATGCTTCTTCTGGGAATTACAGAAACCCATGTTTGACTATGCACCAACCATGGGCTTCTTTGCTGGTTTATGGCATCAAGCGCGTCGAGGGCAGGTCCTGGCCTTCCCCTATCAGAGGTTTCAGCCTTAGATTCTTCGAATTCAGTTCAAAATTCTGATACCATGTTGGTTTAATCTTATGTTTTTTGTTGTTGAAGTGTAAAGTTTTGAGCTTCTGAGAATGTGGTCTGGTATTAACCATCTAATTCGTAAAGTGGGAGTGTGAGAAATTTACCTTAAAATCTCCGAATTCAGTTCAAATTTTTGATACCCTTTCGAGTTAATCTTATGTTTTTCTGCTGTGGGAGCATAAAGTTTTGAACTTATGAGAATGTGGTCTGTTATTTACTAGCTAGTTCTTAAAGTGAGTGAGTGAGAAATTTACCTTAAAATCTCCGAATTCAGTTCAAATTTCTGATAGCCTTTTGGTTTAGTCTTAACTTTTTGATGTTGGAGTATAAAGTATTGAACTTTTGAGAATGTGGTCTGTTATTTGCTAGCTAGTTCGTTAACTGGGAGTGCTAGAATTTTTGTTAGCTGGGAACTGAACAAGTAGAAACTTTAAGTAAGCTGCAAAGTTTGGATCTTATTTTTTTAGAGAAGCAAGTTTTTGACTTATAAGAGTTTGATTTCTGAGCAAAAGATTGATTCGTCGGTTAAATTTGAATGCGGAATATCAAGTGTTAGTTGAGTTATTCCTTTTGTTCTTCAGTTTTGATCTTTTTTTGTTGTGATAGTTGTTATTGGATTCTTCTTGTTATGGTTATTTTAATTTTGACTGAGATGTGCATTTTTCTAAAGCCTTGAATTTGTCTTTTGAAGGCCGTCTTTGGATTCATGCTGCTGGTAAGGTTCCTGATGAGGCTACAATTAAAGCAATGGAAGAATTTTACAGGGAAATTTATGCAGTTGATGGAATCACGGATCTTAAATTTCCGGAACATTATCCGGTTTCAAGACTTTTAGGTATTCCAAGTTTGGTACTTTGTTTGATGCATGCTTCTTGTTTTTGTGCATGTGTTGCATAAATACATCTTGAGTTTCTTCCCAATGAATTTATCTCCAGTGTTTGGTCAGGGAGGATAAATAACATTCTGAGGGTGAGGCGGTTGTGTGCTCTTTTTGACCAATCTTAATTCAACTTAAAAGAACGAAACTATTTCATTTTTGTCTTCCTTGCTTAGGTGGTTTTCTCTAGACATCACACACACACAAATTTTGACAAATTATGGTTTTATCTTTGAGATAGGGTGTGTCGAAGTGGTTGGATGTCTTAGACGCGAAGAACTTGCATCCTGGGAGATGGTACCTGAAGGGGTGGGCTACCTTTTTACTAATGACTGTTTGATTCATGATGTTGTGATGGTTTCATGGGTTCTGAGACTGTGTTGATTAAGCTCTGACTGATTTAGTTCACACGCAGGTGAGGTTGGAAGCATTAACTGATATGTGTTGGCTTTGTGAGCAACCACAGGTATGTATTATTTTTCCATTGCTCCATTTCTGGCAAATCCTATGATTTGGAAGAAGTAAAAATCAGATATTGTTAAGCTTTTATTTCTTCAATTATTGCAGAAACTGTTAGTTCCGTTTGAGATGCGTGGCTACCAAGGTGTCTATAACTTGGAAAAGAAGGTGCTTATTGTGCACAAAAATTTACTCTCTCTCTCTCTCTCTCTCTCTCTCTCTCTCTCTGTGCTACTGTTTTTAATGGACCTAACTTACTTATTTATCCGTCTCAGATATATGAAGGTGCAATTAGAGGTCTTTCCCCAGTTAATAGTCCCCTTCCAGTGAAGTTTCCACTTCCAAATCCACAAGATCCATTTTCGTTGAAACCAGGATCTATCTCTGTGCATGTCCCTGTATCTAGAACATCTGAAGTTGAGATATCATCGAGTCTCACTGCAGCCATAGCTGGTGCCCGTGCTGCAGCTACACAGTTCTCCAAGAAAGTTCAAGATGCACCGACATCTATAACGACCCTTCCATTAAAGGGTCAATCTGTTGATGAGGATACAATGCCATCTGCTAACCTCAGTAAGACCTCTAATAAGGGGGCATTGACACCTAATGACAAGGAGCAAATAAGTCCCATTGAGCACGAGGGAATCGGCAGCCACAGCCAACCTTATTCGGGAGGTTTGAGACCTCAACCTGGTGCATCTTCTAAGGTATGCTGTATGCAGTTTCTTCATTTGGACTCGTATGAAACAAGTGCATGCACGCATGGCTTCCATTATGATAATTGTGTGTGAAGTGAATCTAGTTTAACTAGTCTGATCAATCACTTAATATTTTAGAAGGTCAAGTTTCATTCTGATTTAATTTGTACGCATGACCTTGACAAGTACTTTCAATAGAACAAACTAAAATATAACAATTTGACACGTAACTTTGTTTGCTATCTTTCCATTGTACTGCATCACTAGTGTTTTAGTCTCTACTTGTATCTTAGTCTTTCTTACCCTGCCATATGAACATATTTTTTAATTATACATAATTCAATTGCTGGTAGTACCAAAATGTGCTCAGTTTTCGGCACAAAAACAAAATCGGATTTATCTGTAAATCTGGTTCTGTATTTAGTGTAGTTGGATGTAGTATTTGATTTGAGGTTGGGTCATTTTAATCAAAGGCATTATTACAAGGCTGCATAGAATTTTGTGGTTGTGGACTGAACATGGAATGGAACTATAATAGATTGTTCTTACTTGGTTTAAAAAACAATGCAACGGTAGGGCAGCGGTCAGCCTAGAGGGGAGCGCACAAAGCGGAAGCGAGGCTTTGGGCTTGAGTAATGCAAACATTGGTGAGAATCGATGCCCCAAAACTTCTTGGCTGAAAGAAAAACAAAAAAAAAAAAATCCTTATAGAGGAAAAGGAGGCTGTTGTAAGTGATATTTGTCATATGTGGATTTATTAAGCATATCCTAGCTCTTTTTGACAAGCATAGCATACCCTAGCTCTAGTATCCAATTTTTAGTAACCTAATGATAATGGTCAGGATGCGTTAAACATGATAATATATGGCGTGTGTGATGCCATCTTTTTTCGCTTAATAATAACAACTGTGAATAGCCTGACCTGAAGACTTTGTCAATGACTTTTACATTTTTGCTGCAGCGGTGGGTGAGAGTGATGAAGCCATGATGATTCTTCAATTATTCTTCGAAGGTGGAACTCTGTTGCAAATATCATGCGTTGCTTGCAGCAGCAAGATGTTATGGCAAAGTGGATCTTCAACTTGGAATATGCTTTTCTACATCCTTGCATTGTATTGTATCTGTAATCTGTAGCTAGGAATGGTTTGTGTTTAGTTTAGGGTGACGAGATAAGTACGGGGTTGTTTGGTATCCTTCTTGGATCCAATTTTTTTGCCTTCGAAACTATTAAGTACCAAGTAATTTAGTAGCATTCATCGTTTTTAAAAACTACAAATGTAGTTTAGTGCGTTGGATTGTGGTAAAGTGCTGAAATTCGGGGAAAATTTAATTGAAAAATTGCATTTGGGTATTTGGCATTGTGCAACTTATACAGAATTTATTCCTTTTCCAGTTTTTCATTTGTGTGAAACTCTAAGTGAATCCAATATTTTCCATTAGGTTTTGTGTGGAAATTATTGTTTGTATGATCGATCGGTTAGTAAGGAGGACTTCCTAACATGGGAAGGTGTCCCGTACTATGTAAGTTGCTTTCGTTTGATAGAGCTTTCCAGCCATAGGTTTGACAAATAGTCCTTTAGTTATAAGAAGTGTGAGCTGGCTTCTTGTATTTGCAACAGACCTTAGTACAAATGTATGTTTCGTATTTTTTTGTTGTTGATGAGTTTATTAGTGTTGATGAATGTGGCCACTCATTCTGAAGCAGCTTCCTCTCTGCCCTATCTCATTCGTAGTCGATCTCCACCACCTCCTCCTCTACTCAGTCACGGTAGCCGCCAGTTCCATTTCACCAGACCGCCTCCTCCTCCTCCTGCTCATTGGCAGACGCAGACACCAATGTTTCCACCGCCACCATCTTTATCAGATTCATTAGCTCCACCACCATCAGCTCCACCGTCACCCCCATTTTCATCACCACCACTGCCATCCTCACTGCCACCGCCACCACCACCACCACCATCGCGGGCATCACCACCACCATGTCGTCATAGAAAGAGAGATTCATAACAAAAGGATCGACGCGGTTAAGGTGTGCCTTAATAAGTTATGTTTTTAAATACAATGTTTGCAGTACTACTGGAGATTCAGTTCATCCTTGCTGAAGAAGGCAGTAGCTTCAGTTCAGCACCTTAATTCAAATGCTGGGTCCTATCTCCTCTGGTGTCCTTCATCATCTTTGATATTAAAGTTATGCACCTAAGTACGTGCTGGTGTTAACTAGCACTTACTCCATATTCCCTATCAATATTTGGCTATAAGTTTGGTAAAGAAACTTATAATGTGCTTTTGGTTTATAAGAGCGTTTTTTCAAGAAGCACTTTTGAAGTTTCAGCCACGTTATTTTACTTCCTTCTCACTTCTCAGTTTGCGATTCATAGAATATACAGAAACAGGATTGTCTGTGCATGCGTGATATGCGTTATAAGGTGATCTGCTAAAACTAAGAAATTAAGTAGAGTAAACCGTAGCATTGGTCCCTCAACTTTAATCAAATTGGAGCAATAGTTCATCAAATACAAATTCATTACTATTGGTCCCCCAACTTATCAAAACGTGCAGCTACGGTCATTTTCGCCGTTAGAACTTCTGTCATATATGTCACGTGTTATGCACGCGAGGTTAAATCAAGAGACAAATATGGAAAATCAAATAAGAAAAATTATATTAATGGTCCTTCAACTTTAATTCAACTAGATAAAAAGTTCCTCAACTTCAACACCAATAGGAGCAATAATCTTTCAACTTTAACCAAATTATAGCAATAGTCATTCCAACATTACTTATTTTGACAGAATTTTAACGGAGTTGACGAAAAGGACTATAGGCACACGTTTTGATGAGTTAAGAGATGAATGGTAATAGATTTTTAGTTGAGGGACCATTGCTACAATTTACCCAATTAAGTAATATTGCTCATAGCTTACTGTTAAATAAAGAGTTTGCAAACCTTAAAAGAATGGAGTCTGAATTTATTGAAAATTTAGTCAAACGGAACTTCCGGCTTTTTAGATATATAGACATACATAGATATATAGAGACAGAGGATGCAAGTACGGTGCTTGGAGTTGAAAAATATAGTTGGTGGTTTCTCTGCAGCTGGTCACAACAGACAACAGGTGAAGTTCAGCCGGAGAACTGGACCTAGAACGCCGCCTTCTCTGACACACGACAGACAGGTCCATATGGTTGCCCCTGCTGCACCTCAAAAAACCAGTGTTAAGCTTTCCCGGCATCCTCCACCACCACGACGCATGCCCTCAACTTCTTCTACACCATGCTAGCCAGTTATCTATGTTTCTGATTTGTTTGGTTAATTTTGTGTTTGATATTTCTAAAAGAACACTGATTGATTCTTTACGTATACTGAAACGTTCCTTCTCTTAATTTTGTATATTTTATTTATTATACTGCAAGGCCCAACCAAAAAGGCCAATCACGCAACGGAGTGCCCGGTAAAATTAGCGTAATGTCCTAACGAGAGATTTTTCAGTGTGGTCGGCATACGGGATAGTACATTATGTGTCATTATAAAAATAGTAGGATATGTATGTTAAAAAGTTAATAACTTAAAAAATAAAATTTCTCACTACTTACATAAAAACACGTGGTGTACCATCCGTATTCCCATCACAATAAAAAATTTCTTGCTTGTAACATGATAGAGATTACAACTGTAGTGTCCCTAACTAGTAATACAAAATCATACATAAGACTTTCTTCACGTAACCTTGTATTATCGATGAATCTATTCCATATAAGACAATCTCTTGTAAACATGATAACACGAATATATGGAGATTCTAACACATGATAACATAAGCCCAAGAAACCAGATCAAAGGAAAGAGAAACATAATAAGAAAGCAGAACTGCATGAGGAGCGAGCACCAATTACAAATCCGAAGAGATTTAAATAAGAAAAATCAGGAAAATAAAAAGCAGGGTTGCTACATCTCGCTGAAATGCCATGGCTGTGTTGCTTGATTTGATTAGTTGCTTTTCCCACTTGTTGCTTGCCGACAATATAACAAGGTTTTGACCTCAAATACAAATTACAAATGAATGAAAATTCTCTCGGATCTTCTCTGTGAGCATATCAAAAATTTCTGTATCGTGTATGTTTATCGTATATCGTACGGTCAAAAATCATTTTAAATATTTTTATTTAAAATTAAACACAATTAGTACCTGATAAAAACTAAGCGTACAATGTATAATAAACAAACACGATGTGAGAATCTAAAGAAGATCCTCACTCCCACTGCCATTGCTTTGCCTCGACCCTCGAGTGAGATTGTTGCTGCAGGCCATTGTTTTCTTCTTAATCATTCAAAGCATCATCGATCGAACACCTTCAAGTGGTCAAAGGGGCGCCAGGTTAATTGGGTATCTGACATGAATCCAGATCTTTGTCGGATTCTCTTTGTAAGGATTCGTGAATCGTGTTCGTTTATCGTATATTGTACGGTCAGAAATCATTTTAAATATTTTTATTTAAAATTAAAAACAAACAGTACTTGACAAAAATTGACCGCACGATATACGATAAACGGACACGATTCACAAGTTCTCAAAATCCTCACTAAAAGAATCCGAAAGAGATCCTGTTGGATCCGACATCACATGGTTAATATGGCTTTACAAAAATATCAACTAATAGTCATCCTAAACATAAAAGTATCGTTTAAAAATGTTTTTAAAATGATTGAAAGCGTTTTAGTAAAAATATTTTGGAACCAATCCTTAATAAAAATACAACTGAGTCATGGAAAAGCATTTGATGTGGTTCTTGCAATAAGCACATAACTGATGTTTCTTATAGAAAACATTTCAAGTACTTTTGAAATCAAAAGATATTTTCCAATAGCGCTTCCAGTAATTTTAAAAGTTTTTTCGAACGAACCCTAAAAAAAATCCAGTTGGTTTCTTCCTCGTTTGTTAATACTTAGGAGAATGAAGAATTAAAAGTGTTTTTTTATTTATTTTTATTAATAAGAAGGGTGGTGCTATATCTATTTTTACTTCCTACACTCTTCTAGTTAATTTTCGTTGTTTGATCTTTTTTAATTTATTCTATCTGACAATTAAAATTGAAAAAGTGTGTAAAAAGTAACAAGAGAAGTGTGAATATCACAACTTCATAAAAAAGGATTAAAAGTTTCCCATGCATGCTGCATCCAATTTAGCGACTCGGTCAACTTAGTACTCTTCCATGTTTTGACCATATACTATCGTTATATAAGTTGACACAGGACGATCTGGCAAATTTGGCTTCTCTTTTGACACATAACTTAACATGAGAAAGGTGGAGAACATGAAACTGTCGTGGGTTATGTCACATCCCGGTCCGGGACGGATCACTTTTTGGGCCTGCTTCACCACCGTAGTACGATATTATCCGCTTTGAGCTTACCATTTCCTCATAGTTTTGTTTTTGGGAACTCACGAGCAACTTCCCAGTGGGTCACCCATCGTGGGATTGCTCTAGCCCCCTTCTCGCTTAACTTCGGAGTTCCTACGGAACTCGAAGCCAGTGAGCTTCCAAAAGGCCTCGTGCTAGGTAGGGATGAGAATATACATATAAGGATCACTCCCCTAGGCGATGTGGGATGTCACAATCCACCCCCCTTAGGGGCCCGACGTCCTCGTCGGCACACCACGGCCAGGGTTAGGCTCTGATACCAAATTGTCACATCTCGACCCGGGGCGAATCACTTCTCGGGCCCGCTCCACCACCGTAGCACGATATTGTCCTCTTTGGGCTTACCATTCCCTCACGGTTTTGTTTTTGGGAACTCACAAGCAACTTCCCAGTGGGTCACCCATCATGGGATTGCTTTAGCCCCCTTCTCGCTTAACTTCAGAGTTCCTACGGAACTCGAAGCCAGTGAGCTCCCAAAAGGCCTCGTGCTAGGTATGGATGAGAATATACATATAAGGATCACTCCCCTGAACGATGTGGAATGTCACAGGTTAGCTAATTCGTTTTGGCTTCTCTATTCACAGATTCAATACTACAAAATACAAAAGCCAACAATACCAATATATCATGAAGCACGAGCATTTTATAAAACAAAAACAAAAAATCATGCACCAAGGGTACTCACATGTACATGCTTTTTTGTGCAGTAATACCAACACATTTTATTTTTATTTTTATCTCTTATACATTTTTTTCAATTTTCGACCGATGAATCGAATGAATTGAAGAAGATCAAGATATGAAAATTAATAAAGAATGTGTAAGAAGTTAAAAACGGAGAACAATACTTGGTTACTCAAAGAATGAGTAGGAGTTTTACTAAAAAATGTTCGTTGCTGTTTTATAGATTTTCTTGTTTATGATAAAACCGTTCATATTATAAATCACTCTATAAAGATTGCCTATGCAAAAAAT